GGGTGGCACACGCTGTGCGGGGTGTCACACTGTGCGGGGTGTCACACACTGTGCGGTATTGCACACACTGTGCTGTGTGTCACACACTGTGCCGGGCCCGGAGCACGCACCGCGGGGCTCAGAGCGAGGGACAGCCTGTCCTCGTGTCGTGCGGGGAAGGGTGGCGAGGGTTGGGGCTGTTGAGCCTGGAGAAGAGCAGCTTTGGGGTGACCTCACTGTGACCTTTTGGTGCACGAAGGGAACTCTGAGGAAAGATGGAGCAAGGCTGTTTACTAGAGTATGTAGTGAGTGACAGGACAAGGGGGAACGGCTTCACGCTGACATAGTGTAGGTTTAGGTTAGAAATTAGTGCCAGGAAATTAATTCACAATGCCAGAGGTTTATGTCCAAAAAGGAGACAGAAGAGTAAAGTTCTGTAACTTTATTTGGATAAAGGGAGAGGCCATGGGACATTTCCTATGAGGGTCTCTCAGACTTGCTAGAGGATGCAGTCCCCTTTTTATCCTAATTTCCTGGCTGCATTTCCCCCTCTTTCCCCAGTGGCTGAGGTACTTGAGAGGTGCAGACTTCCCTTAGAGCCTCTTCTAATATGTATCCTGATATTTTTCTCTAAGTCCAGGAATTTAGCATGGCCTTGGGTGAGCAGCAGTCTGTGTCAATTAGTGGAATTCCTCTGGAATTTTTGGTTCCCCTCATTGCTTATTTCATCTATCAGTATCTGGCTTTATCTACCAGCAGGCCCACAGTGTGTTTGTAAAGATACCTCCCTCTCATTGGTTTCATTAGGAAAAAATTCTTTTATTGTGGTGAGGCATTGGAGTAGGGAAGGACACACATTGTGGCTGCCCCATCCCTGGAAGTGTTCAAGGCCAGGTTGGACAGGGCTTGGAGAAACGTGGGATTGTGGAAGGTGTCCCTGCCCATGGCAGGGGTTGGAACAAGATGTTCCTCAAGGTCTCCTTCCAAGCCAAGCCATTCTCTGATGCTATGATTTTAGGAACATGGTTGTGGAACAGAACATCCCAGTCTCATCTGAGCTGGGATAAAGGAGGAGGACAGGGGCCTGGTGGTGTTAGGACATGCCTGGTCCTACTCTGAGAATTTAATCTCAAAATATTTTTGCATGCTTGTCATCCAGGTTTGTCTCAGTCACCAGCTCAGTAAAATGCAGCATGCTAGTCTGATAGAGCACCAGGAGCAATCAAATGAGCATTAAAACAGCTGTGTCACATATGGCTCCTGAAATACCACACTGGCTCCTAATACCAGTACAGTCTCGGAAAAGTTACTGCCAAATGTCAAAAATGCTGCCATTTCTTCAAGAATGGTTTAATAACAGAGGTTTTTGGCTTTGTAAACTAAGCATTCATTATGATTTCATTTCTGATTTAAGAGAAACCATCTCCCATCAGTTCCTTGTTCAGAAATTGAAAATGCAGGATGAGAAAATGAAGGAGAAATATAACTCACAATTTTTGTCCCTTTCCTGTGGCTACACTGGGGACTTCTTAACCTCCCCATGCTTTATATGATCACATAAAATAACTCTCTGTGTAACAACTCAAAATGTTACAGGTCTACTGATGCTCTTGATTTTTATGATTTGGATGTAAAACACAAATGTAATTCCTAAAATGAGCAGAGAACCTAAATGCCATGTACATTTTAAAAAGTAACACCCCGAATTCCAGCTGCAAGCAGCTTTCCAAGGGGCAAAATTAAAAGCAATGAAGTCTGCTAACCATCAAAGGAAGGAATTTTTATCGCTATACCAAATTGAATTATTACTTCACTCCTGCAGTTAAAAATACACACGGGTTATTAGGGCTACATCAGTAGGTATTTAGTAGGTTTGGTTTTTAGTATGATAGAAATTACTAAAATCAAGATGTAAGATAACTGTGTAGGGTAAATATCCTTTAATGCCATACATACTGTTGCAATCGCACCAAACGCTGACTCAGCTGCAGTCAACAGAAACCTGGTTCTTTACGGGAATTTGACTCTTTACGGGAATCTGGTTCTTTATAGGACTTTAGTTCTCTGCGGGAATGTGGTTCTTGCAGCCGCTGGTTTGATACGATTGTGCCCGCAGTTCCCAGCCAGGACCTGATGGAATATGCCTGTTCCTCTCCTGGCTGAGCACTCAGCGATGCTGGAGTACCAGCACAGCTCTCTCTGGTGTGCTTGGGCTGGGTCCCGGCGCTGTTTCGGCTCTCCCCGATGGGTTTTTCCGCGCCCAGGTCCCGCTGCCCGGCGGCTCCATCTGGCGGCAGCCGCACCTCGGGAGAGCCCGCAGCTCCTCGCGGGTCTGGGATAAACCCGCAGCTCCTCGCGGGTCTGGGATAAACCCGCAG